ACAAAATGCAGGAGATGTGCAAAGACGGCAGCTGAAATTTCATAGATATTTCCGAGAGGCTGCAACCTTCTGTGCTTCAGAAGGCCTCAAAGTGCCTGAAATGAGTGCGATTATTTGAAATCTGAGATAGCCTTATGGCGATAGTGTAATTTTCTCCCAGAGCTGGGTAGCTGGACCACCAGAATAAGTGTTAGTACTCCTGATGGCAGTAGTGTAGAAAAGCAAGTGTGGACTACGGCTAAAGCAAGCGGGGCTGGCTGCTCAGGTGGGTGTGAACGATGAGCGAGGAAGCGGAGGAAGGCAGATGTACCTCCCAGATGGGCTCTCCGAGGTCTGGTACTGCTCACACGTTTGGCCTCACCACTCTGGTATTAAAATCTGTGGCTTTTAACTTGTGCACAATCTGTAGTAGACTTATTTTCACAAGCATTCTTATGATAAAGGGACGTGTGCTATCTCCGTTCTTCCACGTGACTAGATGAGTTTGGAGATGCGTGTTTCTTCAGGATACCCTTTCATCTGTTACCTGAGTCCACGAGACACAGCAGCCACCACAGCTTTGTGGCCTGGTGTGTGCTGGTGTTTCTGATGCCCGTGATAAGTGCGACTAGAAAGCTGTTTGAACTCGTTTCTGAGCGGCATGAGCATGGGTTGTGGCAACTCTAACCCAAATTGGTCAGGTGCTTTCAAGTGTAATGTTTTTCAAACTATGTTTCAACAGCTTCTCTTTAAAATTAGATGGTTCTGACAGAAGTTACACTCTCTCCAGGCAAGTACAAGGCCAAGGTAGGATCTGTGCGCGGGAGAGCTGGTAGTTAAGAACATTATCATTGAGATGAAGGTAAAGGGGAGGGAAGTATCAGACGGTTGCTTACAGCAAAGAGGCAGCACATTTTTAGATTCTTACCTCCTTACTACATCAGCAGTAAGAAACCAATATTGAATACCTTTCTTTGTTTTCTGCGTTTAATTCCTTTGTATTCTGGTGTATCTGAAACCAGAATGCTGTGAGGGAGAAAGAGGAATGTCAGAGATCTGGTTTTGCTCGTGCCGACTTGCTCCAGCTTTGCAGAAATGATTTTGGGGAAACCTGTTCCATGTCTTAAAACAAGCTTTGAAGGATGTGTGGTTGATGAACACCCTTTGTCTAGGTGGCTGCTTGTCCGTGTGTTCTGGCTTGTATGGGACTGGTACATTATCACTGCACAGTAATACTCTTCCCTTTTGTGGTTTATTTCTGTAATACTGGGGGCTAGGAATGAAAGCTTTTGCATCCCTGATGATCTTGCGCCTTACCTGATCCAGCAATCTAATTAGCTGTAGAGCTTAGTGATGCTTCTGAGCTCATTTGTAGCTGACAGTGGGTCTGTGACAGCAGTTGCCAGCCAGCTGTATGCAGGCAGGCACTAGGAGTCGGTGAAAAGGCGACTCTGGGCTCTCGCCTTCCGCAGCGAGTTTCTGTGTGGCACTCTCGTAAGCGCTTGCTGCGTGCCTGCCTTCTGACCTGCTGCTGCTTCTTGCTCGCTCCACATCCCTGCTAAAGGCTGCACAGACAGAGCATCTTCTGGGGCCCTCTGAATAAAGACAGCCTTACTGACTGGACACAGAAGATGGACTACATGAGCTGCTGAGTGAGTCATCAAGGGCAAACCTTCTTTGCTTGCCACTTTAGAGTGTCAGTGACATTTAAAGTGAGCTTGGAGTGAGCATGGGGTTGGACAACTCCTTACTTCTGCTGTTCTCTGGACCCAGTTTGGAGCTTGGAGAACTTGATTCCAAGGTGGAACTGAAATGATGCTTGTGAGAGCACTGCCTGTAGCTGTAAGTATTGCAGAGCGTGAGGAAGTCTTGGGTTTTCTCCCCCCACCTAAATCTCCTGACTGTGGTGAGAGCAGGCTGGCCTCTCTTCTGCCCTGCCCGGGCCGGGGTCTCTGGAGGGTGCCTGATACTGGTGAGGGCTGTTGGGCTTTCACTTCCAAATGACGGCATTCGCCCTGTAAAATGGTTTTCTCCGCTCATTAGCGTAGGTCATATCCTTCCAGAACTGCTGCTTCAAGACTCTTACTGTTGCTGTCAGCGTGTACTTTATTTATTGTGTGTGCTGAAGGCTCCAGGGATAAGGAGGTTCCAGTTCTGATGCTGTTGTTGAGGAAGACTTCCGAGGACTGGCACTTGGGCCCACTTCTCTTGTGCTTGTTTGCTTTTGTCTGTTTCTTTCCAGAACCAGACATTTTTTCAGCCATTATTTCCTCTAGAAGTACGTTTTTTTTTCGCAGTTTGCAACACTTTCAGTTCTTATGTTTTCCTGCATGAGCTGTAGCTTTGGGAAGTTTTGTGGCAGAGTAGATGACTTCCTGTATAAATAGTCTGGTTTCGCATTTGCGCGGCTATGACAAGGTAAGAATTGTCTGGCTGCAGTTGCGGTTGTCTAGAATAGAGAGTCCTTTCACAAATATGATATCCCAAAATGTTTTGAAGTTTGGTTGTGTTTTTTTTTTTTCTTTTGGCTTGGTGATTATAGTGAGGGACAGATGTGCATGAATAAATAATTCTTTTTCTTACTTGTGGATTTAGTAAGTGCATAGAAAGGCTTCAGACCCAAATATGTAAAAAGGAGTAAATTTTACCATTCTTCTTACCTCTTGTATGTACAAAGACTGGATGCCACTGAAAGCCAATGTCCACTGAATGCTCTCTGTTACTGCAGGTTATTTTCTGCCCTTTCAGGGTGGATGATGAGGAAAGCAAGTTGTCGTCTTAAAATTCAGTTGTGATATTTTTTCATCTGAAAAGAGATTTCTGGTGAGACATCTCTACGGAGTTCTTCTAGCAGGCTTAAAGTAAATGGCCAGTTTTTCATCCCCTAATTTCTGCGGATCTTTGCAAACGTGCTTATAAAATAGCTGAGAATTGGACAGTTGTTCTGAGCAATATGTGTAGACACTGTACAGCTCCTATCACTGCAGCCAAGTCCGAGAGTGTGATCTGAGGGGCGCAGAAATGATCTAAAGGGTGGTCTTGCTGCAGCCCGTGTTGCTGTTAACTCCCTTGCGTGAACAAAGTCATGCATCCAACTCTGTAGTGAGCTCATTCACAGCTACCGCAGCAGACAAGCGCTTCCTTGTCTTTTTTTGTAAGGTGGGTTTTCTGCTGGGGTAGTCCCTGATCTGACTCCCTCGAAGATCAAGTGAGCACTGGGGTTGGTGTGGGAGAAATGGAAGCAAGACCCGTAGCCAGGCACGGAGGGAATGAGCAGAGTGCGGCCTCGCTTGGTTTTACTGCTAAGGCAATCTAGTAACCGACTGCTCCCAAACTGTGTCCGAAGACTGCAGACTTTGCCCTTCATGGCTGCTGAGAAAGCTCCACGTTGGTGTTGTCACACACCTGGACAATAAAGGGATTTATTCAGAATAAAGAGCTCTGAGGTAAGGATTGCAGAATTGGCTGCAGCAACTCACTGGAGTAAACAACTGGACTGTTTCTGTGTCCATGCAGAGTATGTTTGGCGTGAGGTGTGATAGCCAAGTGCGACTGTTTAGACTTTTGGCAGCAAACCCAGAAAAGCTGAAGGAGGGGGGGCAATGACAACTGTTCTGTATCTGTGGGAAGGAAGAGGATATTACAGAGAGAAACAGGTGTGTCAGTCCTTTGATCTGAAATTTAGCCTGACATCTCTTCTCCAGTTCCAGGCTTAGTAGCTGTTAGAGGAATTTCAGGCAGCAGCGAACAAGTCTCGTCTTCTCAACTATTGCATTTAGTGCTTGTTGCCTGATGCTCCAGAAAACTGGGTTAGTCCCTGTGTGTGCACTCAGCAGCCTTGCTGCTTTATTGGTTTAACTGGATTAGCTGATAGCTTGAACTATTTGGTCACACTGACGCTGTAAAGAGATTGTACTTTGCTGGCCCTGTGGTTAGCGCTTTCCATTGCCTGTCTGTTCCTGCAACCGTGCTGCTGGCAGTGCTAGAGAAGAGCCCAACCCAGCACCATTTTTTTTTGTTGGTTGGTGCTGCTTGGTCCGACAGTTGTCTGTGACTGTCTGCCACCGCCAGAAATGCCAGTGTCGTCGTGGAGCGTTCTGTCGGTTTGGTGCTTTTGTTGTCGTAACTTCTGTTCTTCTCTGCTCATTGCACTGCTACATGCAGAGAGAGGCTGTCAGCCATAGAATATTATTTTTTGTAGTATTTGAAGAAGTAGAACATCATTTCCTTCACTGGTGTCTGTGAAGTCAGTGTTGTCTTGTGCTTCACTAGGAGCTGAGTTGCCTCAGAAAAGTTCTGAAGGAGAAAACTGCGGAGGAGAGGCTTCTCTGCAAGCAAGAGAGTCTGATTTATGCATGAAAAGCTACATGAGGATATCCTTTCTTTGGTATTGTTTTCTTGCCCAAATCTGTCATGCAGTCGCAGAAGGGGTGGCTTGGCTGCGGGGGACAAAGCTGTGCTTCCCTGTGGAAGTTGGGGATTTGTCTCTGTGGAAGGGTTTTTATTTTATGCGTGGTGTTTCCGAGGCTGTGCAGCACACGTCGTTCTCTGTCAATTCTTGAAAGAGAGGTTGGACAATTGAATCTGTGGTAGATTTTATGGATGACGGTGGTTTGAGGCATCCGTGATGAACAGAAAGGTTTAGAAGCAAGGCTGCGGAGACTCTTGGTGTCTTTTTTGCAGCTGTCCCTTTGCTCACCCTAAATCTTCTCTTCCAGCATCCAGGTGGAGAAGAAGTTTTGCTCGAACAAGCCGGTAGAGATGCCACAGAGAGCTTTGAAGATGTTGGGCATTCCACAGATGCCAGGGAGATGCTCAAGCAGTACTACATAGGGGAGGTGCATCCGGTAAGGACCAGCTGGCTGAGACGGCCTCTTCCAGACATAGGATGGGACTGTGTCAAAGCGTCACTCTCCTTTATGTAACACAGTAAACACATCTACCAAGATGTGTCTTGCGAAACAAAGTAGCAGCTAAGGGTTTTATGCAGTCTCTGTGTTGTCCAGGATTTCTGTCGAGGAAAGAGGATCTTTGTTGAGGAAACAAAACTAAATGAGCCTTCTCTTTCCACCATTCAGAACAGATTTCTCACTACAGTTAAATCAGTGGCACTTAAAGAAGCTAATCTAATCGGCTCCCTCCTTAGCTGGTGGTACCATAACTTCCCCTGGCCCTGTCATGTAGAGTTCAGGAGGGTGAGAGATCACAGGGGCACAAACACCAGCTTCCTGCCTGATGGAGTCATTCCTTTGGGTGCTGGAGGAACGACTCCTTTGAAAGCTGAGTCCAGGCAGTTACCCCCAAGATGAGGACTGTGTGCAGAACAATTCCCTCATAACGGCTGCAGGTTTCTCTTGAAGTCAGTGCTTATTTTTTTCTTCTTCTTTTTTTTTTTTCCCCCCTTGACAGCATGATCGTAAAAAAGAAGGTTCTAAGGTAAGCTATTAGTGTTTTAATTTTCTGTTTTAATTTAATGCGGTGGAAACAATATCATGCTCACAAAATGAACAAAGAAGTTGTCACACACTTTTTTTTTTTTTTTTCTTTTTGTTTTCCCCCCTGTGGAGCTTGTGGCTTTATGTTTACACAAACTACAGTAATGAATAAATCTCCCAAGCAAATTATACCTTTGTTTTTGTTCTGAAGCTCAGCAGTCACCTCAGTGTGAAATTGGAAGTGTTTTTTTGTACCCTCTCTCCCCTGACATCAGTAATGTTATTTCCACCCCTTGAGCCACAGACCTTTTTTTTGCATTACTTGCCATGTCCTGACCACTGAACTGTTAGTGTTGTTACATTCAAGCCAGGAGACGGGCACAGCCACAGTGGGGCTGGCTGGAAAACAAGAATTCTCTGTTAACTGCCCTAGTAATCATTGGTGTTGTTTAAAGCTCAGGTACTCCTGGATTAGAACAGGGCACAGTGTTGCAAAAATGCCTTTGAAACGGATGGGGAGAGCGAAAAGGTAATAAATAGAATCTCGTCTGAGAGGTAACCATGTGCCTCGCAGCTGGCTTCTGCTCTTGCTTGGCTGGAAGGCTTGGACCCGGCGCAGCCCTGCCTTCAACAACGCTTTCATTAGATGTTGTTCAAAGCAGGGCCGCTTGCGGAGTAGCAGGAACCAAGAAGGAAACTGTGAACTGAGAGGGTGGCGGCTGGAGCCCTTGGGAGTGTTTGCTTGCTGCAGTCAGCCACAGAAAGAATAACTCGGGCTGGGTAAAGCCTACGCTTAGTTATAACATGACATGGTACAATTATGCATGTATTCACCTTAAAATTTATCGTCTGGTTCAACTCTGTTTCATAAACAGAATCACATGCCTAAAACATTTGTAGAAATAAATAGTAATCTGAGTAACTCCCTTGGATAGGAGTTAAACATTTTTTTTTCAATTATTTCTTTCTTCTGAGGAGAAAGTCTAGTGAGTTATGTACAGCTAAGGTCTTTCTCTGATGTACAACATCTGTTTTAAAAGCAGGCCCAAGTATAATTTAAAAATAGCAGCAAGGGATAGATGTCAGCAATGTAAAAATAAATAGGGGGAAACCATGAAAAAAAGGAAGTCGTATGGTCTCGTGCAGCTCAGAGGTAACTCCCCACAGGTAAGTGTCAGTGCTTAGCATCTACTGAATGTATTGTGGCAGAAAAGAAAGCGCTAAGGCTATCAAGAAATGGAGGTAATTCTGTTTAGGATGGCCAGGAAAGGTGACTTTTGGCTGGTAGATGCCGATTAAACCGGAGAGCAGCAACAGCCAGCGAGGAAGACGCTGTGCAGTCGATGAAAGCATAAATGAGAATTTCGGCTGACTGGGAGAAAAGTATTTAAATTCTCAAAGTTTTATGAAAGGAGAAGTATAAAAGTTTTTGGAAACAGGCTGTGTGCAGGGGCCGAGCTGCAGTTAGCGTTGTGGTTTTATGCTTCAGTGGTCAGGCGGCAGGATAGCAAAGGGGGACGTGGGCAGGGGTTCGGAGAGGGGATCGCGGTGAGAGGACCATCCGTGTCAGAGTGCCCGTTACTGTCCGTAGCGTATAAACCAGACAGACCGTTCTGCAAGGGAATGAGCCAGACCTTTTTTTGAGAGGGGTGCAAGTTCCATTGTGAAGCTGATGACTGGGTGGGAGGGATTGGATTGATGGAAAGAATGTGGAGGTGAGGACAAGGGCAAACATCCCCAGAAACATCCGCACTTGTGACAGAGGCTGTTTGGGAGAGGACGGGAGGGTTATTTTTCCTCCCTGTTTGTAATCACATGTTCAATCTTGTAGTCTTATTAGCACATGTTTAACGTTTCTTTTTTTCCCCCCTTCTAACTCTCTCTTTCCTCCTGCAGGATCCGAGTATGACATCCTCAGGCCAAGCAAGGTATAGTATCCTCTTAAAAGAAGAGTAAGAAATTGAGGGGTTAGGACTCTCAGTTTGGAGAACTGCATATGAACTCTAATGGGCAGGGAAAAAACCCCAGGGATGTTACTGCCCTGTCGTTCGGTGAGGAGATAGTCCAAGATAAGCTACCGGACTGCCGTGCCCCGAGTTAGCTGCCGGGGCAGGCACCTCCCTTGCTGGGTGCGGAGACGCAGCCGGCGGTGCGAAGTGCCCTGCTCCGTGCTGGGCAGAACAGGCGTCCTGATGTTTCGCAGCTTGAGTTCCCTGGCCCGTGTGTTCGTCTTCCGCAGCGATGGCTGCAGTCGCTTTGCACTACAGTGATTATTTGGGTGGTCGCTGTGGGCCACGGGGTGATGCAACATGATGATGAGCATATTATTTTTTTGGAGGGTTTTTACCGTGACCAGCCCCTTTTAGCTGAAAATCCAGGAGCGCTTACAACCAGAACAGGGCCCTGGTCTTTCATAGCTGATGCAGAACTTTTTAGCTAAGGAGGCTGTTGAAGGTGAGCCTGTGGCCTCTGGTTTACGAGTGAGGAAGATTTATTGTGGGATGGCTGTAGCAATTTCCATCCTTGAGTCAACTCAGCTGTTTGTATAGCACAAATTACAGTCTGACTTATTTAAGGAAAAAGAAACCAAAAAAAACAACCAACAACAAAAAACCCCAAATTGGTTTCTCTGTGTGCCAGGCTGAAAACTTCAGCAATTCAGCTGCTATTTTGTAAGCCACGAAGCCACCCTTGCAGGCGCAGGGGCCTCTCAGAGGGGCTGGGCAGAGCGCTGAGCACAGGGACTCCTAGAGCTCCCCAGCCTTGGGAGCCTCGCCTCGCGTGGTCGGTCTGAGCTGGTGGGAGACAGGTCCCAAGAGTTCCCTAGATGAAGACAGATATGTAATAAGTGATGAGCATCTTGAACGAATTATTAACTTGATACTTTCTTCTGTTTTATGTTGTGTGTATTTTTGTGGTTTGTTGTTTGGTTTTGTTTTTTCCCTCTCTATAGTTTCTGGTCAACGTGGCTAATCCCCATCTTCGGAGCACTGGTCCTAGGTTTAATGTATCGCTATTACGTGCTGGATGGGAGAACCTCTTGAACGGACGTTGCTGGGACCTCAGAAAGCCTGAAGGAGAGGGTGTGAGAGAGTACGTGCATGCAGCACGTGGAGTTCTGCTTCCCTTAACCTTTTCTGCCTCGCTTTTAGCTTTGAGTTTGTCAAATGATGTTGATACCCCTGGGACCAAGCTAATACCAAACTCTCTCTCTCTTCTAACTCTGGGACCCACGGACCTGTCTTACTTTCCTCTTGCGGTGGCAGGGCAAGGGCGACTTCCCGGTATTCTCTTATGTTTGTGTGTGGTCTCCCTCGTGTGTGCGTGCTCGTGTGCTCTCGCTCTCTCTTGCTCTCTGAAGTAAACCACAAACAACCTTTTTCTTCCAATGCCTTTTTGTTAAGCCAGACAATGTGAAACAGCTGCTAGTGAGCCTGTGGATTTGCCTCAGTCCTTCACATAGCATTGTCAGAAATAAACTGCAAGTTGTCTACAGTCCTTTCCAGAAAAGATGTCCAGAGATTCGGTTCCGCAGTAACGTTCCCAGTGCATGCAGGCAACACTAATTGGAGCAGCAGGAAATTGTTAGCTTTGCTACCTCTTTCTGTACGTGTCTGTTTTTAACGGTTAAACAAATACAAGTATTTTAAAAGTGATTCTGTTCATTTTGTAATATTTGTACTTGTCCCTTCAAAATGTATATTCTGTGAAACAATTGATACCATGAATCCTGTTTGTTTGGGTGCTTTTGTGCTGCGTGCGGCAATGCCAGAAATGGGAACTGACATGTGGCTTCCCGAAATGCAGATTTTTCTTTCTCCCGGAGGTCTTGATCCGACACATGTATTGGAAACAAAACTAATTCTTTCTTACTGTGAATGTGCACCAGATGGGGGGAGTAAACAAATAAATCTAGTCTCTTGTCCCTAAATGAAAAGGGAAAAGAAATCCATTTGGGATTTGTGGATGATGCTGGTTTTGCCTGGGAATAGAGGAGGATATTTCTCTCTGCTTCTGTTTTTGCTTATTGTGTAGTTGGCCTCTAACGGTGCAGAGACAGTGCGAGGTGTGCTTCATGCATTGAGGCATGAATCTTTCCAGCTCTTCCAGCACGTTGGTCTGTGGCTTCGGAACCTGCTAGAAAAAGGGAACTCGCGATCTGGTGTCCAGTATCCTTTAACGGTGCTGTATGACGCTGCTCTGGCACTGGTTCCTGCTTCAAATGTTACAGCAAAGCTGATCCCCCTTTTGAAGGGTGGCAAAGCGGGAAGCGATACACTGGGGTCCTGTCTGTGAAAACCTCCTGCAGGCTGGGGTTCTTCTTCTCCCTTCCATGAAACCTCTATGTTCCCCAGAAGGTCGTGTAGAAGAATTTCGTGGATGTGGAATTGCACTCGGCCTTTTCGAAAAGGAAGGCCAAGGAACTGTGCGGTCGCGGGGAAGGGAGAGCGCTGCTGGGCTGCGTTACTCCCTCCGCTCCTCCAGCGGGCACGGGCCGGTCACTGCCAGCAGCAGCATCTCACGTTTCTGCACCTGCTGTTTTAGCAGAGGTGACACAGATGTCCCCGTAGAGGTCTGTCGTCCTACGGGACTTTCTTCATCTGGCCAGGGAAACGTGGAGTTCTCCATGCCATAGTGGCTCTTGGGTATCCTATTGCAAGCTGCCTTTGTCCCTCCTCCTCTCCTGGCTGCTCTGGTGGTCTGCTTTCTGTTTATTCTGCCCTAACGAGAGTCTAGCAGAAGAGTATAAATCTTAGCCAAGGAAAATCCCCTGGGAAAGACCTGGGAAATTCTGTTTAGCTACATTTTAAAGGATAAAGGTGACAGGCTGCAGTCATACATTAACATAGGTCTGAAACTTGGCAATGGGTCAGTCGATGTAAGTTTAGGGAAAGTATATGGTACCAGCCCAGCACGGTGTTTTGATAGTCCCGACGAGCTGACAATACACAGCTGTGCTGCTTAGGCTACTGCGAGGCATTTGAGTGATACTGCAAGGTAGATTGTACCAAAACCAGTACAACAATCCACAAGGACATAGTGAAAAGGGACAGATTTGATTGAACAGCGGAGAGGCAGCAGTGAATGTGTTTCAGATTCACCCCAAAGAGCAATCTGTGCTTGTTTAAGACTTAGTAGGTACCTGGGAGGAGACAGATGCTCCCTGGAAAACTGGTGAGCGTGGTGATGGCTGCCTCGCGTGGAGGGTGAGCCGCTGCCACGGAGCGGTAGGGGTTGCTGGTAAGGTCACAGAGTGGTTTGGGTTGGAAGGGACTTTATAGATCACCTCATTCCAGCCCCCTGCCATGAGCAGGGACCCCTTCCACCAGCCCAGGCTGCACCAAGCCCCATCCAGCCTGGTCTTGAACGCTGCCAGGGAGGGGGCAGCCACAGCTTTGCTGGGCCACCTGGGCCAGG